CCGACATCCCCTCTTAGCTGCTTTTTGAGCGGCCCTCGCAGTTAGGAACTTTCCATCCCAATCCTTTGAGAAACGCTTTTGCAACTGGAAGGACACATCGGGTCGTCCCTCGGACTTCAATGTGATATGACTTTGTCCAGCACCATAAATCCCTTTTATATACTTGTTGAAGAAATCCATACCAAACACCATCTGAAAATCTGGTATCTTCAACACTACCAAGTCCACTCTTTCTTTCCACTTGGATATCTTTATTGGAACATCACTCATAAACTTTCTGGCTACTTGCCCACCTTCCGCAAACCGGAAGTGCATAGGCGACATTTGCTCAGCATTCAATCCTAACAACTTAATCAAGTCTTCGGATATCACGCTGTGCGTAGCTCCCGTGTCAATCATCACTCGGATTCAGTGTCCACGGACAAAGCCTATTAGATACATCAACGGATCAGTGTTTGCATTGACTGCAAGAAAAGCTTGAGGAAAGCAACGAAAGTTACTCATCTCTTCTTCCTCATAGTCTGCATTGACCATCTCGTCAACCCCTTCAGCTTCACCACCACCGTCTTCCCTCATGACATTAACCCGAGACCTTGTCTTATGCTTGTTGGGACATTCCGAGGACCTATGTCCCGACTCTCCACAATGGAAGCAATGACCCACACTACCTGTTCTGCTAGGAGCAGGTTTTGCAGGTTGCTGCTGCTTGTACCCACCAGGAGAAGGAATAGAGGGCCTAGGACTAGAAGAAGCTGCTGGTGGTCTCCAACCACCACCATCTTTGTTAACCGTTGTTTGTGAGCCTCCAGGGCGGAACTTACTTTCCACCCTCTGTTTCCGATCACCTTGTTTATTCCCAGAATTTTTATTCTTATCCGAGTTACCAGCATACGGTTGCTGATATTGTTCCATAAGCGAGTGACTAAAGGCAACTTGCTGCGCCACCTCCTTACACTCCAGGTACGTCTTTGGCTTAAACTTCAGAATCTCATTACGAGAAAGTGAACTCAAACCCTCCAGGAAATAACTCCGAGCATCTTCGTCACTCATATTTGCAATCATAATGCGCTTCTGAGCAAACGCATTAACGTAATGCATGAGATCCCCTCGCTGCTTTAACCGCCGCAGCTCCGCGCGAAGTCTCAGACCAAGATCATCCAGCAAGTATTCCTTACGGATACGAGACCGCATCTTGGTCCAACTTCTAGTCTGCCCTTTTTCAGCACACACCTGGCACCACCAAGTTTTGGCATGATCGGTGAGAAAGGATTGCACACACGCAACTTTCGTACGATCATCTACGTCTGCCGCTATGAAATAGTTTTCCATATCGTAGATCCAGTCTTCCAAAACCTGATAGTCCCGCATGCCTTTGAAGTTGGGTGGTTTCGGGGGCTTGAACTTTGAAACTCGTGCAACCGGGGGTGGCTGTAGAACTTCATCGTCCTCAAAACTTGAAGAAGAGTACGGTTGCTTAGGCTTAGCTGGTTTAGCTGCCTCAGCCTCTTTCTTCCTCTTCTTGTTCTCCTTCTTCAATTTGCGAATCTCCTTTCGCAAATTCTCGATCTTGACTTCCTGAGCCGTTCGCTGCAGCACCGCAGCATCCGGCTCTTCCTCTTTTGACTTAGCCTCTGCCTCTTCCGCAGCATCTCTAGCAGGAGTTTCCTCCTCTCGATTCGCCCATCTAGAGGTTTCAGCGTCATCAGCACGGTTCCGTTTCACCATCCCGCTAGCTGCATGCATGCCTCTATCAGTAACTGAACATGCATACAATGTTCTTACCAAATGGTGCAATCCAACTAATCCTACACAGGTCGCTTCGGATCTACTAGAAAAGTCTCTGCGTATGCAAGTTGAGTTAGAAAATCTGACAAAAGTTGGATAGGAATCGCTGAGACAATTCCTTTGATACCAAATGTAGCGCACCTGAATTTGGAGCCGAACTCCAAGCCCGTTGCGCTACGAAACGAGGGTCTGGTACAATCCCACGAGCACCAGCTCCCCGTATCCAGCACCTGCACGCAAAAATGGTGTCAGAAGGAGTCTAGCACAATTTTGGCATACCGGTGGCCTAACGCGAGAAGGAGGGTACTCCACCAACTAGAGCAGCGTGGAGCTTGGGCTTAGACCCAAGCCGGACGCAGAACAAGGAGCGACACAGCCCAGCGGGAGCCAAACTAATGTCTTAGGTGGTCGGACATGCATTCCAACCACTATCCCTACTATACATTTGGAACCCCCCACAGCCCCCCCCCCTTGAGGGACACACGCTTTGGGCTTTCACCCCAAGCCTCCCTTAGTACCAGGAGTGGACAGGTCCAAAACTTACTAAATAGGGAATGTCCTTAGATTGCGAATTTGGACACGGGACGAACACCATGGTGTTCAGGCCAATCTCTACATTCCGTAGATATACCAAATGAGCTAATCTAGACACTTTCCATAAATAGCATTTAGGACCGAAATGAGACCAACACAAAGGGCGTGATAGCGAGGGTTTTTGGCAGACACGGTAAGCTATCATCCGGTGATATTGAGGGACTAGTCTCAATACGCGAGGGTTCTTGCCAAGCCAGTGCAAGACAAAGCAAAGAGAACTAACAAGCCGGGCCAAGTATGCTTGGCTAAATAGACACTTAGGAATTCCTTCCTTATGCTCATCCGGCCAAGTACAGATGCTAAGTCCAGTTTATTAACACTTGGACAAGAGGGGCCAATAAAGGGAACCAGCAGTACCGACCTCCTGCCGTCATGGCAGTAAGGAAAGAGTGCCCGTAAGGACTGGTCGACAAGTATCTTTCGATACCCGAAGTCACATTCGCGACAAACACTAAGCTAGGTAACTTCCCAAGAAGTCCAAATTTAAGAGCTTACAATGGCATTGTTATCATTCTAGAGGAGCATAAATTGTTGTAGCGCATGTGATTATGGGATGAGATTTGGATATACTATCACTGTGAATCCTTGGAACCTTGGGGGATAAATGGGGATAAAATAGCCACTAAAGGCTCTCTCATCAAGCAATTGCCCCTTTTTCAGTTAGCTTAAGGGGAAAGAAATAGGGTGCGCAACATTTGGTATCAGAGTAAATGGCACAGGTTCGATTCCCATTGATTAGTGGCTACTTAAAAAATATAATATAATATACCCCAATATGGGGTTTTCTCTCATCAATATAATATACCCTTGAGTAAAGTATATTTTTACCCCTAAATTTGAAATCATATGTATTAGGCATCATTGTCATCATAGGATGAGATTTGGATATACTGTCACCATGGATCCTTAGAACCATGGGGAATAAATAGGATTCTCTCTCATCAAGCAATTGCCCTTTTCGCAGTTGGTTTAAGGGGAGAGAGATAGAATGCGCTACAATTGCCCATTAATAGTTATGGTTTTGAAAATATACATATAATGTGGAAAAACATGTTATATGCATTATTTGGACCCTCTACTATGTCACATGTAAATTTACCTTCTCCTTTTTTTACAAAAACTCCAAATGTTTTTGGTGTTTTAATGCACTAGATTAAACTTGCCATTGTACCCTAACACTAATCCTTGTACCAAAGTTAAAGCAAACTATGATATTCTAATCACTTTAGTTATAGTTTTTCATTCTATTCTCCATATCCCCCACTTTAACTTTGGAGTTACTAGATACACAATGCACTAGCTATATTCTAGTTCACAGCTCCTTCATCTCCCCCTCAATGCAAAGTCTATTAACTCTAGGACTTATGACTTTACAATGCTAGAATGGAGTATAATGGTATGGACATTCATTTATGTACTTTCTTGCACAAAAAACTTAATATATCTATCATTTATTGTTCCTTAAATTTCAATGTAATAAAATCATAATTACCAAGTAAGTAGTTTCTCTATGGTTATCTTATGGTGGGTAAAGGGTGAAAACCATATGCATTACATTATTGCTTTAGATATAGAACAAATGGATCTGGATATAGAATAAATATAGTACCAATTAGCATAAGTGTAATTTATATATGATCTCAATTAACAATACTCTTCAAAGTAATGCTTCCAATTTCTTTTTAGTTTTGGATTTTATAAGTGCCTAAACTGATTGAAACACCTATATCTACTCAGAACCAAGCCCTTGGAAACATATGCCAAAAATAACAAAGTAAAACTCAAATTTCAAAGCATTAAACCACTCAATGAAGGAATGAAACCACAAAACTCCTAAACAAACTAAAAGGTGGCTCTGTTTTATATGTTAGTTCTAACATTGGGATGTTAATATTCTAGGATTGTTCTAATGTTGCTCCATGCTCTTGCTTTTTTAAACATAATGTACACAAGACTAACAAACTCTCCAAACTCAAGATAGCATACTCTGGTTCCACACTTGAAACTCTATTGGAAGAAATCCAAACTTCCATTATTTTATTGGTAAGCTTGGTTTTCTTTCATACTTCACTTCCATATGTCAATACAATGACAGCTTCACTGTGATAATATTGTCATTCCAGTTAAATGTAGATCACTATACAAAGCATAGTAAGTATTTGTTGCTAGCAAAACATATTTTTAGATCACTTTGCAGAACAAAGTATTTGTTGAGATTACTTTGTGTTACAACTTCTTTCATATGAAATTTACAAGACTTTATTTAGCTGATCTTCATGTCTGATTCTTGATTAACAAGTAATTGAACACTATTTCTATAGTGTATTTCTCCTCATCTTTATATTCGAGTTTGAGAAATTAAAAAAAAAGTAGAATATTATAAACCAAGTCATTTTGGGTTTAAATGTATATATAAATAAACTTTGCTCCAAAAATATTTAGTAACCAGAAAACAATAAAGATCTAATTCATGGCTGTCTTCCTAAACCCAGGTTTTTAAACAGCGGGAGTGTGGAAGGCCAATAGCGCGTGGCTATTGGCCTTTCGTATTCTTCCCTCCATCGTTAAACCTGGGTCTTAGGTATTGTGATCCTTTTTCCCTCGCTATTTGGGAGCGATAGCTTTGCTCGCGATCGGTGTTGACGCCCGACGAAATCTCGCTGCCGTGGGCCTCCAGCATCCGGTTTTCCAGCTCGCAGCAGCGCCAAAGATGATGGCGCTAGTACCGGCGCACGATCACCTCAAATGGGAGGGGAGCCGGCATTTCACCACGACGCTAGCCGAGATAGGTGCGTTCCTTGATCCATCGCCTCCAGATTCGGGATTACCGCTCGTTTTTTCGTGCCAGGATCGTCGTGCGAGGAGATCAAGTTCAGTGGATGGGTGGAGAAGATCAACAGCAAAGGCTACGTCCAGCCGCGGGTGCTTGTCATCACGGATTTGGCCCTCTACAACTTCCGGGGAGGCTTTTTCACGCAGTGCAAGAGAAGGATCGATATGAGGGTCATCGATTCCATTGTCCGGAGCAAGTATAGCCAGCAGTTCATCCTATGCTGCCCAGAGGTGTGGGGTTTTCATTGCTAGCAAAAGATTGTATGAATCGTTTTCTTTCGTGTCTGTGGCAGGAATATGACTATCATTACTCGAGCTCTCGTGTGTCCGAGATTTGCGATACCCTCGTCGCTGTTTATCGAGTGGTGACTGGAAAAACACTGGCTGTGGATTTAAAGGTGACCGATCACTTGTTTTTGCTCAGCTGTCAAAACGTTGGAATCAGCAGACAAATAAGAACTTATTTCCTTACGTTGCGACAAGGAAAGACTCAAAGACAGGATTGAAGGTACCAGCCTCTGCCTGTTTGTCTTCGGCATGTCTTAAGTTTAGCTTCCAGTCTAAACGGTATGCCTTGTCATCGAGGAAGCTTGGTGAATGGGACACGGTAAGCAGTCTAGTCTTGGACTTGTCTCATCAAGGTTGCTGCTCCAGAGATTTAGCGTCGAACAGTCAGACGACTGGCAAGTGGAGCCAAGAAGTCGATCCGAAACTGTAAGTTCATAAAATAGTCCTTTCTTTGCTAAAGAATTCGTGCCGAACAGGTTTACTCGACAGACAACGAAGAAGTGAGTCCTCAGAGTTTTAAGTTTTTGAAGGTCCTCGGGAAAGGAGCTTTTGGAAAAGTAAGGCGTTGATCTTCATTTGCGACGGCTTGGCGAGAAATTGCTTCGTCCTGCAGGTGTACTTGGTAAAGAAGCACACTACAGATGAAATCCTTGCGATGAAAGTGCTTGACAAGAAGGATCTTGTAGACGGCAAAGCCCTGGAGCATACCAGAACTGAACGCCATATTCTTGAGGTATGGCAGCTTCTCACATTTCGAACTGCTAAAACTTGTTGTTTCACAGGCCGTTCAGCACCCCTTCATTGTGTCTCTACGTTATGCTTTTCAAACCGAGGAGAAGTTCTACATGGTGATGGAGTTTCTCAGTGGGGGTGAGCTTTTTTATCACCTCAAGGTAAAACATTAAACTTTTTCGGTTTTCTCGGCTCTCGCTCAAGCCTCTCCACAGGTTGCAAGCCGATTCAAGGAGGATCGCTCTCGATTTTATGCGTCCGAGATCACATTAGCAATCGGTCATTTGCACGGGCTGGGAATTGTTTACAGGTACTGATTTTCTACTATTTTCTTGTGCCTGATTCGTTTCTGTACTATGCCACGCAGAGATCTGAAAGCGGAGAACGTTCTTCTCGATGCCGAAGGTATTTGCACTTAAATCACGTTCATGAAAGCTTACAGAGAAAACAACATTGCAGGCCATGTTAAACTTACTGACTTCGGACTCGCTAAGAAGGCCATTCTAGATAACAAGTCAGCGTCGACGTTTTGTGGCACTCCTGAGTATATCGGTGCGTGTTTTATAACCTGTGATTAGCTCTTGACACTAACGGTGCCACCCCAAGCGCGTCTTCAGCCCCAGAAATCCTCTGCAATTCAGGCCATGGTCGAGCTGCAGACTGGTGGAGCCTTGGAACACTGTTATACGAAATGTTGTGCGGGCTGGTAAGTTCATTCTAGATGCTCCATTTCATTCGAAGTTTTAATCCGGAAAATACAGCCTCCTTTCTATCATAAGAACGTGAACATCATGTACGATAGGATTCTCAACGCCAAGCTGACGTTTCCTGCTTTTCTCACTCCCGTGGCCCGAGACCTTCTCTCCAAGGTAACGCAAACGATCGATCACTTGGAACTCACTATCTGTTGCTAGCAGTTGCTCGTGAGAAATCCTGAGAAGCGGCTGGGAGCTGGACAGAGGGACTATGAAGAGATTATAGAGCACCAGTTCTTCGCATCAGTGAATTGGACAAGCATGCTACAGAAGAAAATCCGGCCGCCCTTCGTTCCACAAGTGAAGGTATGATGGCTGTATACAAGTTGACCACTGCTGACAGCCCGATAGTTTCCATCTTGGACAGGGAGGCGATGATGTTGGAAACTTTGACGTGGTATTTACGTGCGAACAAATCACAACTACAGTGTGGTATGCTGATCAGTTTATTCGAGAGCGCTGAACTAAATCCAAAAAATGTTACAGATAATTAATTGAGCGTGGCTGTGTGTCAAGGGAAATCAAATCCAGTACCAAAATCCAGTGAAGGTGTGTGTGTGTGTGTTGTTGTTGCGCAACTGCCTGCTTGAAAGTGAGTTTTGTCAACATGTACAAAAAAGAAACCTCTTCCTTTTTCTCCATTTTCTCCATTCCCTCGGCTCCTCCGCTTCTATGGCCTTAGTATGTACTTGTGGTCTATGCTTTCGAAGTCAAAAGGATCATCCAGGGCCAGGGACGAAGCACCGCTACTCCTGCTGTAAGCAGCCACCGTGCTCGAGAGCGGCAATGCTAGAGGGTGAGTGTTGTTGCAGCTTGATGACACTGACGAGAGCAGTGGCTGTGCGAACTCAGGTTGGAGAAGCGAAGCCGACGGCTGCTGCTGGTGGTGGTGATGGTTCAGATGGTGGTGCTGGTGAACCAAGCTCCGGGTGAGCTCCAGCTCCCGCTGCAGCCCCCTGACCCGCTCCGTCAGCTGCGAGATGATCCCGTAGCAGCCGTGAACCGGGTCCTTGTCCCGCACCTCCGCCTCGTAGATAAGTGACTTCATCGTCTCCTCCTTGTCCGCCGGGTCCGCGTCCCGCAGGAAGCGCAGCATGTTGCTCACGCCGAACAGTCTCTTGCAGCTCAGGAATCTCTGGTTGGCCTCGGCGGGGAAGTACGGCGCGAGCGGGCAGTCCACCGGACACTTTCGCCGCTGGAACTTGCAAGCGGCGCACGCCTGGCTCGTTGTCATGCTCCCGTTGCTGCCGTTGCTCGAGGTCACGTTCATACTCTCGCTTTGCTGCTGCTGCTGCTGCTGTTGCTGTTGCTGCATCATCATCCAGCTCTCTCTCTCTCTCTCTCTCTCTCACTTCACTGTGCCTGCTTGATCTTCTGTTTCTTCACAGACGCTACGAATTCCCCGGCGGAGGCGAAGTGACCACCGAGAAATGCCGAAGATCCGCCGAAAAAATCCACCGCTGGAAGAAAGAAAAAAGAAAGGAACACACGCCAAAGGTCAGCTAAATGAGGTCACTATGACCCGCACGTAAATATAGCAAATAGCACATTGGCTTACTTTTATTAACCAGCGCCACGCAACGCCCATCTCTCCCGGCCGTGGGCAAGACTTAATTTACGTGTGGCCTGGATGCTGTCTCATATTTTTCGCCCTTCCACCTTTTCACTCTTCTTTTTTTACCAGGTCAGCTCTGCGAGATTATCCCGGAGCCGATTAGCCTTCGCGTATAAATAGCCCCGCAAGCTTTAAAGTACGCTTAGCGAAGGTACGGTGTCCATCTCTTCTCGAGGCTGCGAGAAAAAAGAGAAAAAGCTTAGCTTTGTGTGGACTGGAAGATCATAACGTTTTACTTTTGCTTCTACAGACCTGACACCACTCGAGGAAAAGCAGCACGATGTAGTCCAGGATCACGACGAGGCAAAAGAGCTTCCCCGCCCAAGGTCCGCAGCTAAAGTACCTGTGGAATCAAGGAGAGCGAAGAACCTGAAACGAGCACCGCAATGGAGTCTAGACTAACCGTGCAAGTCGGTCCCGCAAGTTGCTGCGAGGAGTGGCGGCGGCGTGGTTGTACACGACTTCGGTTCGCTTGGCTACGTCCATCCAGCTATACATTCTCGTCATCTACAGCACAAAGGGGCAGTTTTTATCTTCCTCTCTTGTCCTGTCCAAAATGGAAAGAAAGACTCACGTACGCGGTTGTGCATTTCCTGCGGGTCGATTCTGGGAAGAAGCTCGATCGCTTGACCGATGGCTTTTACCATCTCGCCCGGAACAGGTGTCGCGAGAACGATCATGTCCGGTGGAAGAACCTGGAGCAAAACGATGTGTTAGTCACGAAAGGCTTCGGAGAGACAAGATCACGACAAGGATTCACACAACATACATGCCTCTGGGACTCCACCGACGCGGGTGCTAACAGTGAGCAAGCCGCAACTAGCCGCCTCGAGGATTGCGATACAAAAAGCCTCGGTGAGGGAGCTGGAACGAGAGAGAAAGATCGAAACTTAAGCCATCGAAAGAGAACGAGGACTACTTCACCTGTTGAGAAAGATATGGCCGCGAACAAGCACGGAGCTCACCATGGCGTGAGGAACCGAGCCCAGCATCTCGACGCGCTCCTGAAGCGAGTGCTTCTCACGCATCTCCTCGAGACGAACTCTCTTGGGACCATCTCCACCGATTATAAAATCCACCTGTGAGGGACCAGGAGAGCTTGTTCCAACCGTGAACGAAAAAAAAAAACTTGCAAGAGCTTACGTTTGGAAAGAGCTTGCAAACCTCCGGTATGACTTCCACCAGCAAATCTGCGCCTTTGCGATACACCAGCCTGCTCACCACCACCACAACGATGCGCTTGATCGATCCAGCGCGAGGCCGGGGCTGGAACATCGCAGTGTCCACGGCATTCGGGATCACGAACACCTTCTCTGGAGCGATCCCTGAGCGAAGCACCGTGTTCTCCTTGCTGGTGTGAGAGACGCAAATGGCGTGGCGGACGTCGGCGAGCGAGAACTGGAGCGCCTTGTTCATGTGGATGCTGCCCAGGTCCGCGAATCCATAGAGGGAGTGATCCGTGAACACCACCTCGAGGCCCATGGTCCTGGCGTGGAGGATCGCCTCGTGACACAGCGTGGAGAATGCCTGGTGGCCGTGGACGATGGTAATGGCCTCGCGGACGATGATCGAGCGCAGCACCGGGAGCGTGAGGAAGAATGTGGGGAGAGTGTTTTGCATCAGGAATGGCAGCCATGGAATGTAGTAGATCTTGAGGCCGCCGGTGAGGTAGCGCACGCCGGAGCGCTTGCCGTAGCAATGCGTGGCCACCACGACCTGGAAAGAGGAGATTATTACCCTACAAATCGAGCTCCGCGAAATGCCGATCGATCGAGGGATCCATCAATGGATTACCTTATGGCCGCGCTGCAAGAGGCACTGCGAGAGCGAGTATATGTGGCTCTCCACACCGCCGAAATTCGGGTAGAAGAAATCCGAGACCATGAGCACATTGTGGCGCCTCCCATGCTCGTCGCCCATGGAACCCTAAATCTCCGGCATATTCCAGGCCAGATGGAATTCGAAAGATATTCTTTTATTCCTGGAAGGGAGTGAATATTCGGCTCCCGCCGGATTTAGTAAGCCCTAAAAGGACGGTTCCTTTTCAAGATATTTTGGGCATGGCGATCTTATTCGCGTCGGGCCAATGAGGAGCTGCCTCAAAGTGTCCCCTTCTAAGCCACAGCCACCTGCGCCGGCCAATGGGAAGTGCGCCACGCGTCGTGCAACTAGCGCGGACGTGTTTCCTTCTCCTGGAGCCAAGGCATCGCCCCCAGTGGCCCCCATACCATGGCCGCCCAATCACGGCTGTGACACGTTGCGTGTTGTCAGTGGCTGCCGCTGACGCGCGTATGATACTTTACTCTCACCTCCCCCACATATATCCTCCCTCGCTGTTAATCCCATGTTTTTTTCTTTCTCCTTCGTGGTGGAATGCACGCTCGCTCTATACTATTTTTTCTTGGTCTGTTCTAGAGAACGCTAGGTTTCTCTCCTCTCGTCTTCTTTCCTCTCGATCTATCCATCCATCCATCCAGCGATGATTAGCCGGCGATCGCGAAATCCCCGCGCGGAGGGCGAGATCCTTTCTCGCTTCCGCCCGATCGCGCCAAGGCCAGCGAATGTTTCTTCCTCTTCTACGCCTCCCATCAAGCCAAACGTTCCAGCAGCTCCTCCTTTTCCAGACTCCAGGCTCTCCTCCGCCAAGCGGTCCAGATCCTCGCCTTGCTGCTCCTCCGCTGCGCCAGCGCCGCTCAAGAAGCTCAAATCTTTGCCAGGGGCCTCTTCTTGTTCTTCCTTGCGGCCTTTGATTCCAGTCACTAAACCCTCCACCGCATCCTCGCGCCTCACGCAAGATCACGGCAGCAGCGATCTCCTCTCCAGCGCGCGATGTGAGCTCAAGACGCTGGCACTCCTCCCGGACGGATCATCCGCTACTGCAGCTCCACAGTCCCCCGGCAGCGATTCATCGCTCGCCAGCCCCCAGCGTATCATCGATCCAGACGCGCGCCTCACGGAGCTCTCGCTGGGATCCACGTGGCGATCGTTGGAGGTGGATTCCTCTCGCGAGAAACCGGAGCTGGGGATTCCATCGTGGCGGCATTTCGACAATCTCCTCTTCGAGCGCAGTGCTCTGCCCATGGCTGTGACCGATGCTCAATCTGGCGGGATCCTGTGGAGCAATCCAGCCTTCTCAGCGGCGCGCGATGGAGATCTCCGGCATCCAGTGCCGCTGATCAGCTTCACGCTCACTGAGAAGTCTCAAGGTGTGATGTGGATCTTCGTGCCCAGCAGCGCTAGCTCTGGCGTAGATTTCTTCCCAATGAAGCCACAAGCCGTGCGCGCCTCCATCGCCAGCGGCGTGCTGGAATCTCTAGCGGCCGCGAATCGATTGTAGATAGCGAACTTGTGAAATAGAAAGAAATTCTCGTAAGAACCCTAATCTAGGAGCCCTAGATTTCGAGAATGGCGGGGAGCACGCGCCTGGCGATCGCGCTCTCGGCGCTGGCGTACATTCTCGCAGGTAAGAATCGAGCGAGCGAGCGCGCGAGCAGTGACTTCGCGATTCATATCCTTGCGTAGAGATACGATCGCTTTGTGTCTTCTTGCGAGTTATTTCTTGGTGATTTACCCCTCTCTGGCCACTGGCATCCTGCTGATTTCCTCTCTGGGCACTTTTGGATCCTCCAGGGCTCCCATTTTGGTGGAAGCTGACAGAAGTGTACCGTGTGCCACTGCCATATCGCGAGGTTGAGGGATTCGTAACAAAGCAATCGTCGTCGTCGGCCGCGAGAGTACACTGCCAGCTCCAGATCGTCTTCTTCTCCAAAGAAGAAACTCCAGACCGGGATGCGAAGTGGAGTGATCGACTGGAAGTGGTGTTGAGAGCCACTCGCGAGTGGTCTAGCAGTGGCTTTTGCGAGATCGAAGTGGCCGTGACGCTAGATGCCAAGGGACTGTGTCTCCACAAGCGTGGGGGAGATAGAGCGAAGCCGCTCTGGGAATGCGGCCGTGTTCTTGACAGCCTCCATAGCCAAGACTCCACCTCGATCGACGAGAGCTTGAAGAACTATATCGGTGAAGATCGAGCAGGAAAATACACCATTCTAGTTCTCCTCGATGGAGAGCTTTCGCAAGGCGGTGGTGCCGAGGCCGTGGTGGGAAAGTATCGTCATGCATGGGTGGTTTTTCCACCGAGTTTGCTGGGGAATGACGAGCAGCTCACTCGGATTATTTCCGAGACAGCGGGTGTTCTTCTCGCGGGTGGAAAGCCCGCGACTGCAGTGGCAAAGACGATGCCTTTAGCCGCGGATGGATCGGCGATCCTGTCCTTCAGCTTGCTCAACGCGGATCCAGAAAACTGGATTTTCAACTGGTACTCTGAACTTTTTTTTTTTACCCTTCTCGAGAAAAAATCTGATCTTCTGAATCCATTTGCAGGGACTTTGACAGTGTGGAATCGCAGTATCTATCTCCTGTCGTCGACGCACTGGCTCCCGTGGCGCGTTTAAGCGTTGAAAGCCAGGTAACTCAAGCTCGCGCTTCCATGAAGCTTCTTTTCGAGGTGCTTTGAACGTTTCTTTCCAATTTCCTAGGTCCTGTACTACACTCCAGCAGCAGCGAGGTCCCAATGGAACGCAGATATCCGGTCGCACGTTATTGAATCAAAGGATCTCTCCTTTTTTGTAAGCTCTCCGGTCTTTGGTTTTTTCCTAAAGTTGCTGCTCCTACAGGTGAACGCCAACGAATGGCATTTGGATACGTCTGCTGCCGCAGCTGGGCGGTCGAAAGTTCTCCATTTTGCAATGTACGTGGCCTGGTATTCTCCTTTTGGCTACGGTTTCCTAACACCCGTTCGCTTTAACATTACAGATATGTGCCTCCCGTCGAGGAATGCCCGTTGCGCATCAAGCTGTCAAGCGGCCGCATAACCTCCTCGGCCTCCATCGACGGTTTTACCTCTCCAGTCGGTAGTCGCCAACTTTTCCTTTTCTTTTTTTTTTCCTGTTGCCTTCGCACAATCCAGCTGATGCCTTTAATGCAGGGGTGGGGAGGTGTGGTCATCTGGAACCCGCCCGGGTGTCTGGTTGCTGATAATAGCACCTTGCGGCAGCGACTAAATGTGAACGTGCGCTGCCTGGAGGAATTTGATTATTGGAAAGGCTGATCTATCGCTTTGTTTTTTCTCCCAGGACTTGAAGACGACGATGGAGGTGGTTGTCGCTCAGCTCCGGACACTGTTTGGTCTGCCTCCGGTACCACCGCGCAGGAAAGCTCCAAAGCTGTCCATTCTTTGCAACCAGAGAACAGGATTTGCAGAGTGGTACGGAGCGAGCAGTGCTCTATTTCCAGGGGGTGATGTAATGCTGTATTTGATGCAGGGAGCTGGATCTGCTGCTGCGCAGGCGCGTCATAGCTGATGTAAACTCCACCGCTTCTACCTTGGCATCACTCCTAAAACTGGTATGATGATCTTCACTTCCTCGGAAGGAAAAAGCTCTTAATTGGGTTGCTGTACAGGTGGAATCGCTTCCAAAGATGGTTATTCAGCAAGAGATTGGTGTCCAGGTGACAACGTCGCTCGAGGCGGCTGAGAAAGCCATGGACGCTGGAAACGCTTCCTACCAAGTGATTGGCAGTAAGGCTATCGAAAAGTCTCTTCCGTACTCAGCCGCGTCGTGTCTCTCGCAGATTTCTCGGCAACGGCAAAAGCCTGGGCTGAAGAGGCTTTCTTTCATCCATCGATCATGTCTCTCCTTCACTTCCCAAAGGAGCACCAGTTCGCGATGTACACGGTACCTTTGAGAAAGACAAAAGAAATAATTCACCACAACTGAAAACTCTGCTCGTTCTTGTGCAGCCATTTTTCGTTCCAGTGCTGCTTCACACTGTTATCTCCGTTGTCAAGGAGACAATGAGATACGCTCGAAAGTCGTCGAGGAAATAGGTAAATGCTATGTTCTACTTCGTACTCGCTCTTACTCGCGAAAACTCTCTTCGAATTACTAGGTGGTTTGATCTTACAATTCATGCGAGAACTTCAGCGTCCTTCCCTTGAACGAAACATTGAAATGTAGCTTCTATATTAGAATTAACAGTCTCCTTGCGGTTTTCATTTCGCTAGAAAAACGATGGACAAGAAGAGTGATAAAGCTCAAGTCAATGAACAGCCTGCCCTGCGCGATTCACGCCTAGGTGCTGTAACTTCTTTGCAATAAAATCCTCCTCTTCTTCCTCCTCCCCGCCTCGCCTTCTCTTCAAGCCATGGTGTGGCTGCTCGAAAACCATTCTCTTCGAGTGCTGTTCTTCCTCCAGACTGCGATTATCTGGAACTTGTGACCCGGAATGCTTGACGACCCATGGATGGTTCTCAACTTCATGGATAGGCAGCCTCCTTCTCGCGTCCAAGTGGAGCAACTGGAGAATGAGATCCCTGGCTCCATCACTCACGTCTGTCCAGTCCATAGAGCTCACGGGCAAATCCTCCCAATGACTCAACCTCCTTGGAACATCCCTCGATCTCAATCCTTCGAACGCAAGCTTCCCGGACAAGATCTCATACAAAACAATGCCCACGCCCCACACGTCCACCCTCTCGTCGTACTCATGAATGGAAGCTACCACTTCAGGAGCAACATATCTGTCCGTCCCGACCTGGCCTCTCATTCTCATGTCCGTCCCCTTGCTCACCCAAGAGGTTCCAAAGTCCGCCAGCTTTATGTTGTCAAACAAGATCTCCCCAAAACCCAAGAGGATGTTCCCCACCTTGATGTCCCTGTGAACCACGCCCAAGTCGTGCATCCTACTCACGGTCCTGGCCACGCTCTTGATCACCATCGCTGCTTCGTGCTCGCTCAACCTCGCCCTGTCCTGCAGCATGTCTTTCAACGAGCACTCGCACAATTCCATGATGATGTGGTAGTAATCGTCGTCCCTGAAAACGTCCACCAGTTGAACCACACCACTCTCGCCCTTGCCTTTGGAGAGCGCCCGGATCTCCATTTCGGCTTCCTCTTGCAGGCCTCCATTCGGGATGTCATCAGGGTCGAGATCTTCAAGCTCGTCCTCTTTATACTCTGTGACCCTGATCGATTTGCAAGCAAAAGGCTGACCGTCACGCTTGCGCACTACTTTGTAGACGATTGCTTGGCCGCCATGATCCAGCTCCTCTTCCACCGAGAACAAGGCTCTCATGCGCTCCATCTCCATCGCTAGCAAGAAAAAAAAAAGTGTAGGTTTCCTTAAACACAGGTGTATTTATATAACAGGAAAAGGCGAATAAAGAATATTATCATCTACCATTTTCTAACAAATAAATCTTAGGTGATGTAAAAATTTCTGGATGGTCAACTTTAATCAAACTTTTAGTTCGTTTTTGCCTCCCATGGATGCTTCTCAGCATGCAAACTAGCTTATTGCCACAGCTATGGGACTTCGCACGCTGTGTTTTCCATCGTCCCAAGTGAGCGACGAGAAAGCCCATGGATTCGAAGCAATGGGCTCTTTTGAAGAACTCAGGGAGATCGTGACGTTGAAGGAGAGCTTCTCCCCCTGGTTCAAGAACTTGAGCTCCTGCGGAGAGACGGTGATGCTGAGCCGCGAATCGCTGGGAGCCTCCACTCGTGCCTTGTAGATTGAGCTCGCATCGCCAACGTTTGTCACTGTTCGCGGGATCGTCGCACTCTTGACAACGCTGATGTTGAATCCGATGGAGGGATAGTTGAGGCTGGCGGGAGTGCTGGTGCCGTCGGGGCAGGAGGTAGCAGTGTCTCCTGTGATGTTTTGGACTTGCTTGGAGGAGTAGCCGGTGCTGCAAAGGTAGAGGATGTAGTCCGAGATAGCCGTCTCGTAGACCAATCCCGGATCGATGGCTTTCATCGGCTGGATCACTCCGGCACCAATGCTGAAGGAGTCTCCTGGCGATCCGTCGCTCTCTGTGATGGGCTTGCCGGTGTTGTCGAGATACCTCGCTGCGTACGAGAAATAGCATCAGTCACTTCTCGTTCCTATTTGTAATTTCTTACCTGTTGTCATGATCGCGGACTTGATCGCCGCCGGACTCCAGCTTGGATGAATCGACTTGACGAAAGCAGCCGTACCGGTTGCGTGAGGACAGGCAAAGGAAGTTCCCGACGCGATAGCAAAGTTGGTACGCACGAACGTCCCATTTGGATCCATTGCTACGCTTCCACCGCTCCATGCTGCCAAGATGCTCACGCCTGGAGCACTCACGTCCGGCTGAGAAAGTGTTCTTCAAGACCAAAAAAAAAAAAAAGACAAAGAACATATACCTTTATAATGTCGGGACTGATAATGTTCGGTCCTCTGGAAGAGAAGTCTCCAGCCACCGGTGCGGGCTTTATAGGAAACCGTGTCGAGTTTCTGGGAAAACAAAGTATCAGTCACGTAACCAACGTAGAAATATAGACTCACGGCGTGATCTCTCGATCGATGGAGCTGGCACCAACAGTAAGTATCCAAGGAGCTATGTTGGTCACTGTTCCTTTGATCGGCCCAGAGTTTCCACAAGCACACGAGACTAAGATGCCTTTCTCCAATGCATGGAAGGCACCAATCGCGATAATGTCGACGTTATACGGCAGAGGTACGTCGCCAAGCGAGAGCGATATCACGTCTACTCCATCGTGAATTGCGTCGTCTAGAGCCGCTACAATGTCGATATCGTAGCACTGGAAAGTCCAGCACACCTTGTACGCAGAGATCCTGGCACTGCGAAGACCACCTCTAGCAGTTCCTGAAGCTAGTCCTTCCATGCTCGCGTTGGCCACTGCCATACCAGCCCCAATGGAAGCTGTGCCCGTTCCATGGCCATCAAAGTCTCTAGGATTGCTGTATGCCACCGAAGCGTTTGGGGACAGGCCGGCTCTGTAGTATTTCGCACCTATGACTTTCCTGGCGATATGATACACACAAAATTCAGAAAAAGAAAGCGATGGAGTGGAGTGCGCGCAAAATGCCTCGTACCTGTTACAGTGTACTACCACTGAAGCGTTCGTTTTCGGATCATTGACGCAAGAGCCCTTCCATTTCGCCGGAACTGGTTTCATTCCATCGTCACGGAAGCTTTCGGATTCAGGCCATATACCTGTGCACTGTGTAAGAGTGTGATCCAGCAAATTTCTTCATACCTGTGTCAAGGACTCCAATTATTACATCACTGGAGTCCTCATCCAGAATTCTATGCTCGGACAACAGACTTGCTGCTTTTGACTCTGCGTCAATCGGAAGGCCCAAGAAATCCCACGAGCGAGTTGTAAAGAGCCGACGAACTCTGTTGGGATGAACACTGAGAACTTCCGGCATTCCTACAGAACAGGAAAGAAACTGTTACGTAAGAGAGTACTAATGTTGCCAGCACGTACTGGATAGCTTATCAGCTTGTTCTTTTGTAAGTCTAGCTGAGAATCCGCTAAATACATACTTGTAACTATAGATCATCGCTGCCGAGGCCACCTCCATGCTAGAGACCAGAAAAGTAAAAAATCTTGGATCAGACTGCTACTATCAAACCTTCCGGTTGCTTTCACGAGAAGATCATAGTGAGTTGTGGTCAGTGTGTCGGCAGATATCCCCTTTTTACCTCCAAGGTACACAATATACGGCTGCAAGACGTTTAATAATCAAAAGAAAGTAACAAGAAGCAAACCTTCAACGAGCTGGAAACATCTCCTTTGCAGCAACACACAAAGAACACAAATAAGAAGAGCCGCATTTTCGACTTTGTTCCACAAGCCCTCGAAGCAAGTGTATCGATTTGAATAAATCGACATTGACGGTGCGTCCTCACTGCAAGCAACAAAAGTGAACTGTAGTATAGAGGATGCTCCTACAATATCCAAAAGCCTTGCACCAGATAAACAGTGTTAATGTTTCATAAAAGGTACCTTAGACGACAGGAGGGATAAGCTATTGCGACGTCTCACCGAGGTTGAAGGATGGGAATGAAAATACCAAGCACCTAGAAAACCATCAGCGTCGTGAAAGAGCTCTACAGAACGAACGTACCGGGATGAGTAAGAATCTCACCCATCAAGCAGTGCCCAGGAGGATCCAAGAGATTAAACGTCGAAGCCAGTGACGAGTTGGAGTTCCCAAGCCCACGTCGGACCACGAAAAAGTCGAAACCATGGAGGTGCATGGGGTGAGATTCCGCTATCACAAGGCTGGTCCCTTGAGGAATAACCTGCATCCTCGTTCTATACTACCCCGGACAGCGTTGAGACTGGCAGGAGGAGTGTAGTCGAAGACAGGAGTCGGGTGGACGTAGCTTATGTTCATGGATGCTCCGGCCCGCCCCTCAGACCACTGGCAGCTTTCCTCTGGTGCGTCCGGAGGACAGCAGAGGACGTTCGTTATCAACACCTCATTTGTCGATTTCCGTAGAAACTTCTCCCGAGGCCCTGCACTTTGTCCTCAAACTCTGTCGCAAAAGCTACCTCGAAGTGGCCAGGAAGATCTGGTAAACTTGTCTCCGATGAGGCACCAACTTCGAGTATTGCGGAAGTTGTCGTGGTGTTGATCGATACAAGCGGAGCCACACTATATACTCAGCGGTGATCAGCCTTCTGGCCTGTTGCGATTGGTGTTGAGAGCTTCGACATACGAGGCATCGATCTCGATCACTTGAAGCGTATGATTTGCTATACCAAAGATCATGGCGGCGTGTACCAGGCTTACCGAGAAGGACACCGAAGAGATCCACGGCAGGCTCGTCAAAGTGCAGTGTCTTGGCGGCCTTGCACTCGAAAGCTACACCGATATGTTTTCGTGCAGCACGATGTCGTGTCCTGGATAGCAGCCACGAGAGGCAGGAAGTCTTTGACTACTTGCAAAGTCAGGGGGCTCACCTTTGAGCCTACATTGACCGTGGGGCGCCTGGCGCTCGATGCGCTGCTGCTTATGATCAACATCTACGCCGCTGCGAGGAAAACAAGAACCCTAAAAAGCGGGAAGGCACTCGGTTGCAGCATTTGCCAGGAATGCATAAATCTCGAAGTTAGCTACGACTTCTCAATGCAAGTGATCACGCTCCCCGGTTTGACCACTTGACTCTACGGTGCCCAGCGCAGGGGTCTTCTCAGCATAGCAACAACGACTGATGTTTTCTCAAAAAACTGGATTCCTAAGAGTAGCATATATAAAAAAATGGATGTTAGAATTCCCAAAGATTCTGATAGTGAAATTTTATTCAGAGGTTTACTTATTTCGTAATATACCAAAGTATGAAGCATGGGTAAAATATCTTAAAATATCTAAACATATTTTAGTAAAAAAAAAATTTAGCCAGATTAAATTTTAGGATTAGTGTGATTTAAGTCTAGAAACTTTAGCTTAGTCTAATCAAATAAATGTGAGTTTCTATTAATTGGAGGTTGTTAAATTTTTATTTAACTTTTCAAAAGTCATTTATAGAAGACCCAAAAATATTTATAACATATAAAACTTGTTTTAAAGTTATAATTTAGAATAAATTTTATAATTAATTAACTTTAAAGATTATTTATACCAATGATCATAAATGAGAAGTTGAAGAACTTTTATGAGGAAGTTTTATAAATATAAATTTTAAGTAATTAAATTTATATAAAATACTTAATTTTAACAAAATATTATTATTTAAACTTTAAATTTAAAGATATCATTTTCCTTTTAAGTATATAAAAATGTATAAATAAAATTTATTAGCTTAGCACCATAGTAGATATCATATCAAGTGCTACTCGATATAATATTAAAGTTTAGTGTTCAAATAATAATTTGATTAAATACAATTACCAAAAAATAATAGGGTTTTAAGTAGTGTCAACATAATATTTTGAAATATCAAATAAAGAAATAAAAAATTAAGATGAATATTCAAGAACTAAAAACTTAGTTTACTTTTTAAAAAGACGGAATAAAAAATTATTTTGACAAACAAACTAAAATAAATTTTTATGTACTGAATAAGAAATATTAAACTTACATTTAAATCAAATAATATACCGCTATAACTTTATTATTTAGAAAATCAACTTTCGTTGCCGGGAATTGAACCCGGGCCTTTTGGGTGAGAGCCGAATATCCTGACCGACTAACGGATGTAAACTTAGCTTTTAAAAGGTAAATCCTGATGTAATCTTATATTAGACTAATCTAAACTTCCAGTTTGACGACCAAGGTTCTGCTAATGTTGACTATTTGAGATGAGAACTTGGCATACACGAAACTCTTCGTGCTCGTCTCCCATTCTCTCGAGCACAAGAGCAGCCCTGTCCATCTCTCCCAATTCACACAGCTTCTCTATCAGCTTGACAAAGGTGGCTGGATCCGGCCTCGCTGATTCCACCGCCCGAGTAACTTGGAGCATCACCATGAAGGCGTGCACGATCTGTCCAGCGCTGCAAAGCCCCTGGATCAAAACGCTGTAAGTGGTCGAGTCCGGAAGGCTTCCCTCGGCAATCATCTCCTCGAGGACCCTCTCCGCCTCGTCCATCCTGCCGAGCTTGCAAAACCCCTCCACAAGGCTGTTGTAAGTCGCGGTGTTTGCTCGGCACCCCTCCTCCGCCATCACCGTGAGAAATCTGGAAGCCAGATCCATCTCTCCGGTTTTGCAAAGCCCCGCGACGTAGGCATTGCACACCAGGAGATTGGGAGCGTAGCCACACACCACCAGCTGCTCCAGGAACGCTCGAGCTTCCACCATTCTCCCCATCTCTGCAAACTTCTGGACCATGATGCTGTAAGTCACGAAGTTTGGCTTGCACTTGCTGCGCGCCATCGTTTCCAGGAGCTCGGCGGCGCTGTCCATCTGATCGGTGTTGCAGAACAGCTCCAGTAGCGCGTTGAAGGTGACGATGGTCGGGCAGAATCCCATCTCCACCATTATGTCCGTCATGCCGAGCGCTTCCTCAGGCCGTGCCGCCTTGCAGAAGGCGTGGAGGATCAAGTTGAGCGTGAGAATGTTGGGCTCGATGTTCCTGAGAAGCATAGTCTCCATCACCTTGCATGCCTCGTCCGGCTTCCCGGATTTGCAGAGAAACTCCACCACCGGATTGAAAGTCACGGCTGTCAGAGCAAAACCAGCGCTTTCCATCACTCCCATGAGCTCGAAAGCCTCGTCGAGCAGGCCAGCTTTGCCGAGGCCCGTGGCCATCGCGTTGTAAGTCACCCGGTTTGGAGCCACGCCTCGCTTGGCCATGGCCTGGAGCTCTTCACGGGCCTCCTGGATCCTCCCGGAGCTACACAGCGCATCGATGAGCGTGTTGTAGGAGACGCTGTTGGGCTTGCAATCCATCCGGTGGAGATGGCTCTTGGCCTCGTCCACAAGCCTGGCCTCGGAGAAACCTTTGAGCATGAGGTTGTGGAGAACGACCAAGCTCCCGGGGCTCATCCCTGTATCCTTGAACTCCGCCACAAGCCTCTTTGCCTCATCAAACTCCCCGGCAAGGCAGTGGCCGTGGACTAGAGTTCCATACGTGAACTCGCTGTGCACGAACTCCCCCAGAGTTTTTCGATCTAGCATCTCTCTCACTTGGTGGATTTTCCCGGCCTTGACAAGCGCATTGAGCAGGCAATTGTATGCCACCGTGTTGGGCTTGTAGCAAGCTTCTCTGGTCAGCCACTGGAAGAATGCAAGAGCAGCGTCCGGATCTTTCGTTCTTTGCAAGATCTTGCACACTGCAATGTGGCTGAAATAGAGGCCTTGGAATGTGGCTAAACTCCCCACCAGAATTCCTTCCGGAAGCCTCGATTCGAGAAACTTGCAAATCTCTGTCACCGAGTCTTCGTCCACTGCCGCGATGCCGACTGGAGGATCGAGCTCGCCAGGCTGCCGCTCCTGCGATTTCCTCTTCCTCCTGTATCGAGATTTCTTACCTGGTCCCTGGCTTGATAATATTTGCTCCTCGGCAGCAGTGGCACTGGCATTCTTCCGGAAGCTCACATTTTGCTGGACGGCCTGCGCGCTGCAAGAAACCGGAGCCAAAGATGTCGAGGATGAGCTCGCGATCGCCACCGGAATGGCGCCGGCTAGCAGCGCCATGGCACATTCTTCGCTAGGGTTCTTCCCTGGCTAGGGTTTTTGGGATCGCATGGCGGCATTTGTCTGTTCTTCCCCAATCCTGCTCTACAATCCCCCGATTCGTCCACACCAGCGATCCAGCATCGTCACGAGAACACTACGAACCGATGGCGCCAGTAGCAGCAACGGATTCAGCGAGGATCCACTGAGAAGACGCGGGAGCGGCAATAATCCCATCTCCACTCGTCTCGGGCAGCTGCTGGAAGCGAGAAGGATCGATCTGCTGGAGCGATTCCGGGAGATCCGACGCAATTTGCCGCTCAAAGTGTTCTTGCTGCTGCTGGGATTCTACTCGGCCAACGCACTGGCCACGGTGCTGGGGCAAACAGGGGACTGGGACGTGCTGGTGGCCGCGATCATCGTGGCTGTAACCGAAGGCATTGGATTTCTCATGTATAAGATGCCGCCCGTGACGGAGAAGCTGCGATTCCTGGTGAGAATGCTGAATTACTGGAAAGCCGGCCTCTCCTTTGGTCTCTTCGTCGACGCATTCAAGCTTGGAAGCTAAGAACCCTAAAAACAGAGGGGTACTTCCTAGGCCGGTGTGCTAGAGCTTATATTAATAGCAAACTATAAAAATATAGTAACCTTTCCATAGTGATAGTATTTCGATTGCAATGAAGAAGAAAGAGGTGATATTTTCTGGGATGATCGTTCTCCTTGTTCTAGCGTATGGAGTTCTTCTTCTGTACGCTGTGACCGTCCATCTCACCGTGAGGCACTACGTGAATTTCAACTCAAGAACACGATTGCATACGATCAAACAAGATGTGGATCGCGATTTTGGAGCCACCAATCTCACGAACATTGTGTTTGGGATCAGCTCCAACGCCGCGATGTGGGATTCGCGCAAAGAACTCGTCAGGGCATGGTGGAGGCCGGAGGATCGAATGAGAGGCTTCGTTTGGCTGGACGAAGCAGTGAATTCCACTCTACCGGACCAGGACACGCTACCCGAGATCAAAGTTTCCAGTGACACCTCCAAGTTTCGATACACGTACGGAAGATCACCATCGAATGGAAGGCACCACATCCGCATAGCGAGGATTGTCTCGGAGATGTTTCGTCTTGGGCTGGGAGACGTTCGCTGGTTCGTCATGGGCGACGATGACACGGTGTTTGTCCCCGGAAACTTGGCCAAAGTTCTCGCAAAGTACGACCACCGGCAGCCGTACTACATTGGATCAATCTCCGAGAGCCACTTCCAAAACGTGGATGGATTCTCGACAAACATGGCGTACGGAGGCGCCGGATTCGCGATAAGCTACGCGCTCGCCGAGGAGCTTGACGAGGTCTTGGACGATTGCCTGGAGAGATACCATGGATTGTATAGCGCGGACGCTCGGATCCACGCCTGTGTGGCGGAATTGGGCGTTCCACTCACGGTGGAGCGTGGATTCCACCAGTTTGACGTGCTGGACGACGCCTCTGGATTGCTCTCCTCGCACCCTTTGACGCCGCTCGTCTCGCTCCACCACATCGAGCTCCTAGATCCATTCTTCCCAAGGATGGGGAGGATCGAGAGCGTCAAGCATCTGATCGGGAGCGCGCACGGGGTGGATCCCATGGGCTTGCTCCAGCAATCCTTCTGCTATGATCCCGATCGGAACTGGACGATCAAAGTGTCTTGGGGATTCGTCGTCCAGATCCACCAGGGAGAGGTTCCAGAGAAGGATTTGGAGCTCCCAGTGAGAACATTCTCTGGGTGGCACCGCGACCGTGATCGCGTGGGGATTGCCTTCACGACGAGAGAGAACCCGGTGGACCTGTGTGACCGGCCGGTCAACTTTTATTTGACCTGGTCAACGGGGCTCGAAGGCGGGAAGTCAAGCAGTAGCTATGCGCGGGAAGAGAGGACACGATGGAAGTGCTTACGCACGGAGAAGGATTTATCCATGGTGAAAACTATACGCGTGGTCAAGGATATAACTCCGGATCCATGGCTGCTAGAGGTAAAGTTAACTTTACTTTTTAATCCCGAGTGAAGTTTGGTTTTACCAGGCGCCTAGGAGGCAGCGTTGTACGATACAAAAGCACGGGGCAACGATGGAGTTGAGAGTAGAGAATTGATATTTTAGGGCTATGATAGCTGAGGGTTTTAGCGCCATGGATCTTGATAGCGAAGTTTTGCGCGATTGATCGCTAGGGAGGGTAAGGCTGTTCTAGAGCACGATCCATTGCTGGTAGGGAGGGGATTTATAGTCGATGGATCGCGCTCTAGAGCCGCGGGGTTTTGGAGTGATTCGAAGCCGCATTTTGCCGATCGGTACGATATTTTCGAGATGGATCGCGATACAGAATCTCCGTTTTTGTTGTTTTCCAGGAAAAAGGGAAGCTCGTTTTGGAAACTCCACAAGTAAGTTTCGAACTCTTGCGTAGAGTGTTTTTGCTCGTTTGCTTGCGAGTTTTGGCCAGAGAGTTTCTCTTCTTCTCATCTCCGAAAGTAGCGCGGCAAAGAGTCCTTTTAAAAGTAGCTGATTTCTCTACGGGCCTCTCTTCCTTGTAGAATGGTTTCTAGCTTCCTGCCCATCCGTGCTGCCAGGCATTTGGTTCTTCCAGCGATGGCTACAAATCTTTGCCTTTCTTGGTAGAATGTTTCGTGCATCATGGCTGCTAGGCATTTGTTCTTTGCAACGATAATTCTTCTTGCTACAAGCTGCGTCCTTGTTCTCTTGGGAACTAACTTCTCTTCACAGAAGCTCTACCGTGGCTATTTCTGCGATCGCCATCTTAGGAGCGTCAGCAGCAGCAGCAGCAGCAGCACGACCAAAGTGGAGAATATAATGTTTGGGATCGGAGCAGGGTCACAGACTTGGGATCACAGGAAGAACTACGTGAGGCTTTGGTGGCGACCGAATCAAACGAGAGGGGTGGTCTCGCTGGACAGCGCTGTGCGAGACATGCACGATGGATCGCTACCTCCGCTCCAAGTCGTCAACAACAACGAGCTTTCGAGAAACTTCACCTTGACGGACCAGCAGATGAAGGACCAGATTAGAGTCTCGAGGCTTCCTTCGGAGTTGTTCCGGCTCAAGTTTTTCGGGGTGCATTGGTTCGTTCTTTCAGACGACGACACCTTCTTCGTCGTGGACAATCTCGCCCGGGTTCTCTCCAAGTACGACCACAGTCAGTTTTACTACATCGGTGCTTTTTCGGAGAGCCACTACCAGAGTGTTACAGGGTTCTCGACAAACATGGCTTTCGGGGGTGCTGGGATTGCACTGAGCTACTCACTTGTGGAAGCGCTCGAGAAAATGCAGGACGACTGCATTAGGAGGAACGATCACGTATGGGGTGTCGACGGCAAGCTACAAGCTTGCATGGCAGAACTTGGCGTGCCACTGACGTTGGACAGAGGATTTCATCAGGTAAATGGCTGGCTGCTCGAGCTCCTTCTCAAAACTTCCGTGCTCTAGCAGATGGACATTCGTGGAGATGCTATCGGGTTGCTCGACTCTCACCCGACTACTCCGTTGGTTTCATTGCACCACTTGGATACGGTCGATCCTATTTTCCCAGGAATGAATCGGATTCAAGCGTTGGCTCATCTTTCGCTTGCCATTCGGGCTGATCCTTCTGCCGTCTTACAGCAGTCTTTTTGCTACAACGATGTCTACAACTGGACGCTGAAAGTGTCTTGGGGATTCGTCGTGCAAGTCAACAGGGGCTATGTATCTCCCAGAGAGCTGGAGTATCCGTCCAGAACTTTTGTGGAGTGGTTTGGCTGTACTGCAGGTTCTTGCCTTAACTTTAAGACAAGACAGATCGATCGCAGCGATCCCTGCTTGAGCACCGTTTCATTCTTTATGCTCAACGTCAGCCAGGATGGTCTAGACAGCAACTATTTCAAGAGGACAGGCACAGGCAGCTGCGAAGATAGAGATCCTTTGTCACGCCTCGAGATAATTCGTGTAAGAAAACAACGCAGCCAGTACCGAGTAAGTGCACTTTTCTCGTGTTTCTGTTTACTTATTTGTCTTTTACTTAGGCCTTAAGAAGACAATGCTGCAGCATTCGCGAGCCTTCTAAGCAAAATGAACATGAGCTAGAGATCAAGGATTGTTGAAACGTTTTTTATTCCTTAACATGCTAACTTTCATGATCACTTGCGTACGCTTACGAAATGTCACTCTGATGTGCAGGTGACGTAGTGGTATGTGATTCACACTTATCAGTGTGATCATGTCGAAAACGTGTGATTCTACTCTTAAGGTAACTTTGGGTGAGTTGTTTTGTGGCTCCATGGATGTAACAAAGCTGTTCTCTTGTGCAGTTGGAATTACAGCTCTTGTAAGCTGTTACACGATTATTACTCAGCATTTGCAGCCACTTCTTCCAAGGAGTTTAGGGACTGGCAGCTTAGGTGGCGTGACAAGTTTGGAAAACATCGTGTTTGGAATAGGAGCCAGCTCTCGTACTTGGGAACACAGGAAAAGATACATAAAGCTTTGGTGGAGACCAAACGAGACGCGAGGTATTGTTTCACTGGACAGACGGGTACCTAACATGAACGACAGCTCTCTACCTCCGGTCAGAGTTTCGGACAACGCGAAGCTATCAGCAATGTTTAGAGCCAGGGGGAAGCACATGAAGGATCACATTAGGATTACAAGGCTTCCGTCGGAGCTGTTCTGGTTGAACTTCTCTCGGGTGCATTGGTTCGTTCTCTCCGACGACGACACCTTCTTTGTGCTCGACAACCTTGTCCAGGTTCTCTCGAGGTATGATCACCGGGAGTTTTACTACATAGGTGGCTTATCTGAGAGTCATCACCAGAGTGTGCTGGGCTTCTCAACCAGCATGGCGTTCGGGGGAGCAGGAATTGCAATGAGCTACGCGCTGGTGGAAGCACTAGAGAAAATCCAGGACGATTGCATCAGAAGGAACTATCATGTCTGGGGTGTCGATGGGAAGCTGCAAGCTTGCATGGCAGAGCTCGGTGTGCCATTGACAATTGAGAAAGGATTCCATCAGGTAAGA